GGAAGGCGGTTCAAAAGGTCATCCATTTCAAAATCCACTTTCATGATTTTTTTTCAGCTGAAGATGCTGAGGTCCAGGGAACTTCAGCCTTCAAAGCATGTGCCTGAATATTCATTCATTCATTCATTCATTCATTCATTCATTCATTCATTCATTCATTCATTCATTACCCTACCCATCTAGACTGAAGTCTACTCTGAACGGCTAATAACATACAAGAATAATAAAATAGAATAAACAACAACATTTAAACCATAAGGATAACAATAAATTAAGTATTGACAGGAGGGAAGGCCTGCCTAAAGAGCCAGGTCTTGAGTTGGCGCTGATTATTTATTTATTTATTTATTTATTTATTTATTTATTTATTTATTTATTTATTTATTTTATTTTATTTTATTTTATTTTATTTTATTTTAATTTAATTTAATTTAATTTAATTTATACCCCACCCATCTACTCTGGGCAGGGTGTAAATGCAATAAATTTATACCCCGAGTATAAATTTATTTTTACTCGGGTAGATAAATTTTGGCGACTCTGGACAGCTGATTAAATTACTTCAGATTAGATTTTTTCCTCCCTGCCTAAGCAACAATCTTTTCAAAACCGATCCTCTAGGCTGTGTTGGTTAGGTATTGTTAAAATAAGTAAATAAAGAAAACCAAATAAAAACACTAATTAAAACAAAGCAATCCCGTTTAAAAACAAATAAACGCAGAGAAAGAATGGCTCTCACTTCATTCGCCTCTCCACAGACATGGCACAGATGTTTCTCCACCGCCGGTCCAAGCTCCTTGTGGTCTGCTGGATGGAGTCACATTCAGTCTCATTGGCACAAGCATCGGAGTCATGCAGTAAGACCTCGCAAATGTTGAACACCGATTCCACACCCGCACTGTGCTGTTCGATGTCTCGTTGCAGGTCCTAGGGCCGTGGGGAAACGGTCAACGCGAGTTACAAGCAGATACGAGTAATAATCTCTTCCTTTAAAATCCACCTTTTTTTAAAAAAATAGCAACACTAGAGAAAGCAAACAGAAGCAGAAGAAGCTACAGATAGGATGACAAACAAAATGTCAACAGTTTCTAGGGTTCAAAAGGAATGTCCTGAGATAGCTGGCCAGCAGCCTCACGGGATGAATCCAGCTACAGATGAATAACAACACATCTACACATAGATTGGAGCATTCTGGGAATTGTAGTTTAAAAAGAGCAACTTTTACAAACATTGCTCCTATCATTTGATGACCCTGAAAAGCAGGATGTACAGCCAGAATCCCTTCCCTGCTGTTTGCCTTGGCATTTTCTTATTCAGAAATATACTGATATACTGCTCCTGGGTTGAGAAGCTATACCTAGCTATCCCTATTAATATCCACTAATATGATTGGCCTTCATGATAAGGACAGAGGAACCTTGTTCTGCCTGAGGACTAAGTTCAGCTTCAGATACAGTGGTGCCTCACATAACGACGTTAATTCGTTCCGCAAAAATCGCTGCAGAATGAAAACATCGCTATGCGATATTAAAAAGGCCATAGAAATGCATTAAAACGTGATTAATGCGTTCCTATGGGCTTAAAACTCACCTTTAAACGAAGATCCTCCATAGCACCACCATTTTCGGTGCATCTAAAGTGAGGAATCCGTCCCTAAACACAGCGGGTGGCCATTTTGTTTACCTGGTGGCCATTTTGAAATCACCGATCAACAGTTAAAAAATCATCGCTTTGCGATGATCGATGCCCGAAGCAGGGAACCGATAATCGCAAAGCGAAATTCCAACATAGGGAACATTGCAAAGCGATCGCAAAAATGTGTCGCAAAGCGATTTCGTCATAAAACGAAGCAATCGCAAAAATACTATTCTACTTTAGCTTAAAATTCTTACTTCCTGTAGCTAAGCTATGGGAATGTCATTTTGATATCTTAGAAATAGAGAAGCCCTTGTAAACTACTGGAGAAGCTACCAAACAATGCCATCATGGGGAATTCACAGAAAAGGTGAAGACATTTACCTCATGGTTCCTGTGACACCATGTGACACAAGTTGTGCCCAGGTTATTCTGTGGACTGAATGCAGCTACTAATTTTTGGGAAAGCCCCTAGATAAAGATTCCCCTTGACATTTAGTCCAGTCATGTCCGACTCAAGGGCGCAGTGCTCATCCCCATTTCCAAGCCAGAGAGCCAGTGTGTGTCCAAAGACAGCTTCAATTGTCACGTGGCCAGCGCGACTAGACACAGAATGCCATTACCTTCCCACCGGGGTGGTACCTATTCATCTATTCGCATTTTTACATGCTTTTGAACTGCTAGGTTGGCAGGAGCTGGGACAAGTGACGGGAGCTCTCTCCGTCATGTGGGTTCGATCTTACAACGGCTGGTCTTCTGACCTTGCAGCACACAAAGGCTTCCGCGGTTTAGCCCGCAGCGCTACCACATCCTTGGAAAAGCTCCTATCTCCCATCAAATTGATGAAAGACAGGAACCTATGATATGGTGGGTGACATGAAAAAGCAAATAGGGCTCCAACACCTTTAATAGCTGTGTGGAAGATGGAACTGCAGTATATATACCTTGCACACCTAGTGAAATGTAATTTTCACTTCCGTATAACTATTAAAGATACAGGAGCCTCCGTCTTCTTTTTCACGTGGGTACCGAAAAAGGAAACATCTCTCTAGTCTGTAACCCTCAAGAATGCATTTCCCACTGAATCAACGCCAAGGGTCACCGTCTAAACTAAAACTAAGGTGACCACAGAGCATCAAGACAATGATTAGCCTGTCTTTTTCAGACAATCCCTTGTTCCCCCCACCCCACCTGCTGCTCTGCAAGTCTCTTCTGGATCTCTTGGTTGTCGCAGATGTCGTAAACAACAGGCTTGGAGAGCTCAGACTCAATGCGCGCCAGCCAGGTGCGAAGATTACTCATGTTTTTGTCAAGCTGTTGAATGAAAGCAAAGGTCTCCTTCTCTCACCCCAAAGAAGGGGGGGGGGGAGAGACAAAAAGACAGAACACTGAAGGCTCTGTAATGTACAAGAAGGATATAAAACATTGGCCTTACAGTTTCCTTTCCGCTCCATCCAGGCGAATTCTGAACAACTTATTTACCTTGCATGTCCCAGACGAAATAGAGAGTATGCACTGGCTACTGACTGACCCTGAAGCTGGCTAGAGCAGAGGGAGGGAGAGAGGGAGGGATAAAGTTTCAGAAGGCAGCCAAGAGCTGGCTTGAACCAACATCTATCTCAGACACGACTGCCATTCCCCAGTTGAAAACTGTTTGTGTACTCTGCGTGCATACCATCGCACATGACAAAGGCAAGCACATTCTACTTTGCTGCATCTAGGCTCGCCACAAAGCTGCATCTGGTAGCACGTTCCTACGATGAAATAACCCTGCAATGATACTCAGTAGAAATGATACTGGTTTAAGGCATTAATTTAGCCTCCTGGGAGCTGGTCAGCACCAGAGATACATTTTTTTTGAGACTCCTACCACCATAAATCCTTCAGCTTGGAGCAGAAGGAGCATAGTTCTGTAGTCCAGAATACAAGATGTTTCTTCTTTCTGACCATATGAAAAAGGAAATAAAATAGTTGTTTGAACAAGTGCAAATATATGGATCTGTCCTGGGACCAGTTTAGTGCAGTTTACTACGCTAAGCAATAGCATTTCAGCCAGTGTTTCGTTTGCCAGATTAGCACTCTTCATAAACAAAAAAAATTCTAAAGCACGGAATAAACTTCGCTAAAAAGCACAGAGCGTGGACAGCAACTGCAGTCCCACACCAAAAGCCAGCATGGTGCCTGGAGTTGGCTCCCTCTTCTTACTTTGTAATGCTAATTACTCTTGCAGACAGGCTGGCCTAATTAACTAATTTGTTGCATATGCCATTTGGCTTTCCATCTGACTCCCCTCAAGTTTCTCTCATCAATCTCTAGCTTCCGCTACAGAAATACCCAAGAAAAACAAACAAACGAAGAACCCTTTTAAAAAAGAGGATAGCACAAAATGTATGATTCTCAGCACCATGTGGCTTGCTTGGGCTGCAGGGTCACTAAAGCATTCCGCTTACACGAGGAACACATGGGCATGAAATTTAAGAAAAATATACACTCTGAAATCCTGCTGGCTTAGCTTCTCCTAATTAGTTGTACTGGGAGGTGGGGGGATCAAGTTTAAGAGAGATACTGCTTTTCCTTGCTTTGCACACAGCCTTTGACACAGATTCAACCAGAACCTGAAAGTAATATATTAAAAATAATTATGCTGCTAACGCCAATAATGAATTAATGGGTTGTGGGATAATGAATGGCACCACATATGGCACCTTCCTGCAATCACTAGGTAAGGCTCACATAATTAGCCTTCGATTGACACTTTTCATCTAGAATGCCCTCTATATTCAATCTTCAAATTTCTGGTACGGGAATGGCCATGTTTCTTGGCGCTTCTGCTCCCAAACAGCACTGGTGCGGTGTGTTTTCAAAAAAGGCAATGGAGAGTTCATTGCATGACTGGTAATCCTTCTCTTTTGTCTATTACAGAGATGAATGCAGTAGAGATGGGCATGAATTGCTTTGTGCCAGGTTGTCTGAAGTCATCAAAGTGGCACCACAGGTGCTGCAC